TTTGTGAGTATGTCCCCCAGAACCGTTATGTTTATGCTCCATCTTTTTTCAATTGTAAGAGTGAAAGATAAAAAGACAAGGATATGAAAAAAGGACAAAGCAAGGACAAATATGTGAAATGCAATGTAGCAGATAAAGTCCTGGACTGGGATGTAGTAAATCCGGGCACTGTTCCTAACTCTGTCCCTCTGCGGCCAGAAGCAAATTATTACACATCTATAAAAGATAAGAATTTCTAAGATTCTTTCCCAATATTACATGATCAACTACATGATCTTATAACTGCCAATACGATGTACTTATGATTCATCCCCCAAACTGAATGCCCAGAAAATTTTTAATTAAGGCTATTTCTGGGTTTAAAAAGCATCTCAGAGACTACCTTTTCTCACATAAGTAACAGAGAGTTCCAGAACAATTATTTATCATGCAGAAAAATTACATTAGGAAGTTTTCCACATCATGATGAACTGTGTGTGATTTATAGGCATGTTTCCTATGTCTTATGCTTTTATGAATTATCCAAAAGAAATAAAATATAAACATTCCATGAAATTGGTGATTATCCAATTCTATGATTATCTCGATCCCAGAGCAAACACATGGCAATAACTGGAAAGTCAGACCACAAAACAGCCATGTTTGACATGTTTCTTTTGTCTTGTGAAAAGTAAAATTGAATTTCATTCTAAAGGATTCCCTTATATTTTCCATCTTTAGACAATTTCCCCTAAAGGAAACTTTAGTACCTACCAGCTGGCCAAGTTCAAAACTTTATCTTATTTCCATTACTTCAGTCATTAAATATTTGCTTCCCTATCTCATCTCTATTATCTCATTTTTTTAAAAAAATGAGATATTCTTATTAAAGTTTCTCCCTTCCCCAAATGCATTTTAAAGTACATACCTCCAAGTGATACCAAAGGTCGGTCTAGGAGAAGGATATGGCCATATATCCAAGGCAGGTTTTGCATTGTAATTAAAATAAGGGACTTCTCGGATTCCTCCTTTTCTGGCCAACTTTTTTAAGTCATCGTTGGGCAGTACAAATATGCTCTTCTTGCTGCTCTTGGTAACAAACTTCCTATAGGATGGCAGAGCTGTACCTGAACGTGTCTTCTTGGGTCTTGAAAATTTCATGAGTTTCACTTTGTCTCTTGTGGAATATTCTTTGCTCACAGTCATCGATGTCACCAGAGTGCCTCCTGCGGTGGTCAGTGAGTCTGTCACTGTCGTGGTGACCACGGTTTTGCTCTGCTCCTTCACAGAGATGATATCTACACTGCTGCCTGTGGAGGGTGTGGAAAGCTTTGTTACTGTTGTAGTGGTGGTTGTAACAGTGGACTTGGCACAGTTTTCTGTGGAAGAGACTACAGTTTGCCCTTTTGCTACCTTGATTACGGTCTTTGATTCTGTGGCCACTGTGGATGTCAAAGTGGTAACTTCTGTGATGACTGTTTTTCTTTTAGATTCTCCATTGACATTTTCATCTTTGTTGGTGAGCAGACTATTTTCATCAATAAATTCATTACTCAGGTTAGATTCCTCTCCAGAAGTAATAGGTGATGGAGTAATCTTCTTATCTTCTGAAGTTTCAATCTCCATGTCTTCTACCTGATTGGCTGCACTACTTTCTGGACAAGAGGGTGGAGGTGTGGTGGTGTGTGTGCTCACAGACTCTCTGGTCGAAGGCAGTGCCTTGACGTTATCTTGGTAATCACCTTCAGCACCTGGAGATCTCAGTGAACATGATTTTGCTTCCAAGTTATTTTCATTAAAATCTTCCATGATGACATCACCATTCATGAATGGCTTAACAGGAGATTCTTTAGTAGTCAAAGACTTAATATCATTTTCAGGAACTACATTATTTATATTATTAACCTTTGATTCAATGTCACCACTTACTACTTTACTCTCAGAGATTTCTTTCAAGCATTCCCCTTTCAAATGTACTTTAGGTTTATTATCTTTTCCATTCATTTGAAAGGAACTTGCTTTCTGGCCTTTCCTTTCAGATTCTCGATTTTCATTATTCCTTTTGTCAGTGATGCTTTTTAAATTTACTTGATCAATACATTTATTAACTGTTCTCTCCTCTAATTTCTGTTCTTGACTTGATTTTTTGCCATTTGCTTCAGTTACCTTACCCTGCAGCCTGTCATCACAGTTTCCAGAGGACTTATCTGAAACAAACTCATGCTTCAATGGTTCCAAGTCTTCAATGCTTTGTTCTTGAGTTATGAATTGTTCAGAAATACTTTCACTGCTATTCTGAACAATCATATCTTCTTCACCACTACTGTCTTGAATAGACATAGTATCAGAACTATTTTCCAAAGTACTATTATATTCAGAGTCACATCCCAGTTTTCCTTCAAAGTCCATGGCTTTTGACAGAGATGGGGTATCTCTATCATCAGTACTTTTAGGTACTGACGAAAGTAAAGGGCTCTGGGAAGGAGAAACACTGGTGTCATTACCCTCCTGTGTGAGTGGTTTTTTGTTCTTATAGATCAAAGTACCAATTTCATCTGCACTGGTTAGTTTCTCATCAATGAGAAAATCACTTCCTTTTGTTTTAACCTTACTGGGTTCCTGGTCTTTACTAGCAGATTTACAAAGATTCTCATCTAGGTCACTTTCAACAGAATTTTGTTTCTGACAATTTGTCTCTGGGCTCTGAATGGAGACGTCATCTAACATTTGATCTTTTGGATAAAGTTTGTTTGTTGTATGATCAGGATCACTGATTCCAAGAATTGAGGAATCACTCTGTGAACATTCACGAATCAGGTCTTCAGATTTATCATTACTTGTGTTAGGGCTTGGTTCTTGTCCAAGCAAGTCACTTTGACACTCTTCTTTTGCTTTTGTTATTCCTGGTAACTCAGACAAACTTTTCAAAGAACTTGTAGAGGTTTTCCCTATACCCTTAATTCCACCCTCCATCTTCATTTTTTCAAGGCGCTGTTTTTCTTCCAGTGTAAACTGCTTAATTCTCCTTTCAAGAAGTCCATCTAGTTTGGATGACTTGATTTTCTTTTTATAACTAGTCCTTAGATGAAAACCCTCACTGACATTGACCACATCTACTTGAGAACTTTCCTGACAATTTATATGTGGCTCCGTTTTCATATCATCATCTATTTCCATTGGTTCTTCCTTAAAGGACTTATCATTGTCAGAATCTAAAACTTCTTTTACATCTGTGGAACAAAGACATTTATTTAAGTGCAATTTTCAGTCTGAAATGTGAATTCATAATATTTTAACTTAAAAAACTAAAAATTTTTCTCATTTTCACTCAAGAGCTTAAGTAGAAATATCTATATATTTCAAAGTTCTTGATATATGATTAAAATGGGTCGATGGACAGGGTGAAACTTTATAAAAGGCTGAAAAACCACATACATTCCAAATTATTAAATATTCTTAGTAGCTAAAAATGATGAAATACCACAGTGAAAAATTACTAATTATACGACAGCTATTACATATATGAGTAAGTTTATGTAAGATTTTGCAGAGTATTTTATAATCATAAATTTTTTTTTACAAATTACTAAAAACCAGTGGGAAAATACATTATAAAAACTACATAAATATAAAAAGAGCTATACTTCTAAGCTGTAACCTTGATAACTGACTGGCCACAAACGTACCATTGAGTTTATCAGTCCCAAATCCCCTAATTTGTGTTGGAAAGGCTGGTTCAGAAGTTTAGTTGTATCTTAAGGCTCATGCATTATCTAGTTTTAAAAAAAAATCCCCCCCACCCCAAAAACCATGTAAGTTCCTCAGAAAGTTGAATGTAGAGTTATCTCATGACCCAGCAAGTCCACTTCTAGGAATTAAACAAGAGATGTTCACAAACGTCCACAAAACAACCTGTATATAAAGATTTATATCAGCATCATTTGTGATAGGCAAAAAGCAGAACCAGCCCAAATGTTCATCAACTGATGAATGGATAAGGAAAATGTGGCATAGCTATACAATGAATCTTTACTTGGAAATGAAAAGGAATGTCGATACATGCTACAGCATGGGTGAACCTTGAAACATTACGTTAAGTGAAATAAGATAACCACAAAGGACCACATATTATATGACTCCATCTGTACAGAATGTCCAAAACAGGCGAATCCATGGAGACAGAAAGTAGACTGGTGGGCTGGGGGTGTGTTTGTTGGGTGTTAATTGGGGACTGACTGCTGATGGTTATGTGGCTTCTTCTGGGGAGATGACAATGTTTAAATGGTTGAACAATAGAAATATACTATATACTGAAAATCACTGAATTCTACACTTTACATGGGTAAATTATATGGCACATGAATGCTGTTTCAATAAAGACAACACAGTACCTGTCTTGCTAGAACTAGATCCAGCGCATTCTTATCACCCCAGGCTGCCCTTCACACCTGACTCTCCTTACCTTGGCCTTCCTTCTCAGTAATCTTTGAAATGTCCATTTCACTTTGGTCTGTTCCTTTTGCAGTATCTGAATCCTTTACCTCACTTTTCTCAGAATCAGGCTCTGTTTTTATTTTTTTTGGACTTCGTGGACTTTTCCTTCTATCTGACTCATCCATATTTTCATCCGTATTATTTTTGGCTAAAAGGAACCAAGTTCATAGTGATTTCAGGCATCTTGAATATTAGCAATTTAATGGATCTACTTTTGTGAGAATTATCAAGCATTTTCCAGCAGCTTATATATACTCCACTATTTTTTGTTAAAGATAAAAACAAAAGTTGGAGAAAAACAAAAAACTGGCATTTCTTACATGCTAGGCTGATCTAAAGCATAAAAGGAATGACTGCATTTTATTTATTTATTTGTTTATTTATTTATTTTTTAAGATTTATTTTCATTTATTTATACAAGCACTGGGTACAGTCAGAAGCGCAGGAGGGTGAGAGAATTCACCAGAGCCAGAGCGGGGAGCAGAGCAGGCAGAAGGACCGAAGTACACTGCTGAGGGGAGCAGCGGGCGGCAGGAGAGGTCTGCTCGCCATGTGGGGCCCTCCTCCAGTGGCCGGGGAGCAGCCAGGGATCAAACCGGAACTAGAGAGCTGTGGGCAGCTTCACAACCCAGAGCTCAACCACTGCGCCACCAGGGAGGCCCAAGAATGACTGCATTTTAAATGGGCTTCTGAAGCATTCCCATGAGAGACTATTTCAACCTGTCCAGAAAGTCTGTATCAATGGCTCCTAATATACCTTGTGTAACACAACCATATTAAATTGGATAAACACTATGATGCTCTCTCCAGAAAATAAGTACGTACACAAATGTCTGGAATCAATTTCAATGGGTCCTTGCACAGCCATGAATTTGTCCATGGACTCCAGGTCAAGAATACTTAAGTCTATCATTGAATAAAAGACTTAAGAATGACCAACGGCAGTGCGGGGCCTGGTCCTTGTTTTGACCTGATTTACCTGATAACAATAAAAGGGCATCTCTGAGACAAGTGGGTAGTTAGATATGGACTGAGAATCTGTGATAATGGTATGATGGCTGTGGAAAAGAAAGTCTATTTCCTACATACTGAACGACCTTTGACAAAATGATTTCTAGGATTTGCATTAAATACAAGGGGAAAAATTCAGGATAAAAATAGACAATGATAACTGAAACAAATATGATAGAATTTGTGTAACTGTTAGAGTTAAAGGATGGTTACATAAAAGTTCATTATTCTATTCTCTTTTACCTTTGTGTAATTTCAAATATTCCATAAGAAAATGAATTTAAACATATAAAACAGAACTACTATCTAGCTGAATCTTCTTGGGTCCTAGTGGCGTCGTTTTACTCAAATGAACAATTTTTTTTTTTTCCATTGCCAGTTTATTGGTCTCCCATTAAGACTGGGGAACTTACTGAGAACACTGTGCCTTCAAGTAGGTACAAAATTTAATGAGTAATGAACAGTATTGTTATTCAAATCGTATTTGTTTATCCATAACTGAGTATTAATCTCCAAATTTTATGATTTACAAATAGCCTGATTTATATTTGCATCAGTTACTTACAATGATCTAAAGCCCTCATATAGGTCTCAAAAAGTTGGTATTTATACATAAACTGCTAAGAACTTAAAATTCATCGTAACATTTACTTCATTTTTTGGCTTGACCTTCTAGTAAATCTTTAGCTTCATTGATTTTGGCTGCTATATAAGGAGATCCTCCCTTGTCTGGGTGATTTAAAAGCATAATTGGTCGATGAGCATCTCTTATTTTTCCTTTATTGGCAGTAGGGCTTACACCTAGTATTAATGCTGCTTCCCGTTTAGTCATTTTTGGTTCAAATCCATCTCTGTAATAGCCACCACTGAAAGCAGATTTTGGTAGGCTTTGAAAAACTTGTTTTACTTGAGGCACCATATGCTTCATGGCTTGCAAAACACAGCGGCCTGCAAATCCTGCAGCAGCAATGGTCAGTCCAGCTGCTACCATTGTACTGGCCATGGCTCCGGCTCAGCTCTCCTGCCTCCACTGAGAGCGCGGCTCATCCCAGACCAGAGGCCACGGCCACCAGCCCCATGTCCCCGCCAGACACCCGCGCGAGCACCGCTGGCCAGCACAAGCCCCGGTGCAGGCGCTCCGGGAAGTATGGCAGCGCGGTCGCAAAATGGTCAAATGAACAATTCTTTCTAGAAAGACTGACAAGGGAATGGAAACATGCAAAAACCACACTCAATAGCTGTCACAATAGCAGAATACTGGTGAGAGAAGAAGACAATTGCAAAGGGAGGGTGACAGGATGTGTCTGGATCCCACAGGTAACAAAAAGATAAAAAATGAACTTGATCTCCTTATTACTTTCCTTAGTTATTTCAGAACTGAGCAAACATGTTTTCAATGGTTTCAAGTTGCCCCAAAAGAGCTTGATATGACAGTGGTTAAGCCCATCTATAGCTTCTAAGAACCCTGCTATTTAAAATAGAAAACTCTAAAATGTTGGTTCCCCCATTAAAAGTCCTCATGACATAAAGAATACTGACCAATAGCCTTTAGTGAAGCTATAAATTAACATGCAAGGCAAATGCACACAGCCTGCGTTAGAACAGAGGTTAGAGTTAGAGATCAGCAACCGTCAGCAGCCAAACAAGTGGAACACTCTGGTCTTCTGTCGCTAAGTGTTCCCTGAAGTGCATTTCTCTGTTTTTTCAACCCATCTGTGCATCTATCAATAATCAGATTAGATTTGCCATGAGGATAGGGATCAATAGCTCTGTGATTATACATTGGTGGTTATTGCTGCTCTGACTATAAAAATTCCTACTCTACAGCCAAGTCATACCAATAATATGCACTGCTGCTTTCTTCCCAGCTACTACCTATGAGAAAAGAAGATGCTTAAAGTCCAACTTCCAAACTGACTGGATAAAAGCCCAGCATTTGGAAAACCCTGTGCTAAGGAAAGTAGATACAAAATAAACTGTAAATGTCTAATTACTTTGCATATTATTACACAGGACAAACCAGTTCAGACACAATTAAACAAAAGTTCTCTATAATTCTAAGTGCTATATGGGTAACTGTAGAAGTTAAACAGTAATAAAATATTAGAATAATCTTGTGGAATTTGTTATAATGGACATTTAGCTCAAACATAATCAGATGACACAATTATTTCTATTTAAAAATTTAGAAGTATTTATGGAGAATCTACTATGTACAAAAAACTCCTAGTTCCTATAAAATACTCTTGATCCTTATATAATTTCTATTTTTGTCCGTTAAAATGTAATCCAGGGCCTCCCCACTGGTGCAAGGGGTTAAGCACTGCACTATGAATCAATACAGCCTCTGCAGCACACGTTTGATCCCTGGCCAGGCAGGGAGCTACCCACATGGCGCAGGAGACCTCTCCTGTCTTACCTGCTGCTCCCCTAAGCAGTGTATTTCAGTAAGTCTGCCTGTTCTGCTCCCCACTCTGTCTCTGGTGAATCCTCTCACCTCCCCAACACCTCTGGCCTGTACCCCGGTTCTTACATGCATATATAAATATATTTTTTTAAAGATTTATTTATTTATACAAGAACCAGGGTACAGGCCAGATGTGCAGAAGGGTGAGAGGATTCACCAGAGACAGAGCGGGGAACAGAACAGGCAGACTGACGAAATACACTGCTGAGGGGAGAAGTCGGCGCGACAGGAGAGGTCTGCCATGCCATGTGGGACCCTTGCCAGCCGGCCAGGATCGAACCGGCACTGCAGAGGCTGCGGACAGCTTCACAGCGCTGCACTCAACTGCCTACGCCACCAGGGGAGGCCCTTCGTAAAAAAATCTTTAAAAAAAAAAAAAAAAGGTACTCCAATAACTGTCCCACATTGATATTTTCAAAAATCTATCAGTGAAGGTTTCATCAGAAATTCACAAGGAAGCCAGATCAATCAGTTAGGCAGGCAGACAGTACTCATTTGGCACTAGAGCACAGGCTTCATAGGAAAGAATACATCACACCATAAATTATGTTGCACGGTAAACAGAATTACTTTTAAAAATCTACAAAGGAGAGACTGCACGGTAGAGTACAAAAAGGTAATGGGGCCCAGGAGTCTCCGGCTTTCGCCAGGATTCTATCGCTTTCGCTGGTGAATTGTGATATGTCAGTTAACCTCATCAAGAAAAAATCTGGTCAGGTAATGCGCGTTCAAATATCTGATCTCTTAAAAGGCAGCTCACTACTAGAGTTCTGTGATTCCAAATACTAAAATGTTAGTGGGCCTCCACGGTGGCGCAAAGTCTCAGCACTGTGAATCAGCTATCACCAGCCACTGCAGCATGAGTTCGATCGCTGGCCAGGGAGCTGACCCCCATGGCGCAGCAGACCCCTCCTGTCTCACCCGCTGCTCCCCTCAGCAGTGTATTTCAGTAGATCTGCCTGTTCTGCTCCCCCTCTATCTCTGGTGAACCCTCTCTCACACACACACACACACACACCTCTGGCATACATCCCAGCTCTTATATGCACAAATAAAATAAATCTTAAAAATAAATAAATAAAATGTTAGCTAACAGCACTGAGTTAATGCTTCATTTATGTGACACTGTTATAGAAGCCTCTATCAATTCCTTTCTGGTTCTGCTAGTGCTACAACGCTGAGGTTTCCAGATACTCAAGACGTCAAGCAGCATGAAATTAAAAGATTTTAGAAGAACAAATAGGTAGCTGAAGTCTTTTTCCTTTTACTAAGTTCTGTTATTTTTCTTTTACTGAAACCCAGATAAAATCCTGTGAATAAAACTAATTTAAAAATTTTCAGAGTTTATAATTAGTAAACTATATTAGTGATTTGCATGTTCTATTAAAATTTTCAGAAATATGTCAACATATCACCAATGTTTAAAAAAATAATACAAATCAGGAATTATTATGCAGAAAAAAATAACTTTGATTACTTACCTCCTTCTAATGACTTCCTGTAATTCACATTAGTATTGCCTGGCAATTTAGGAACAAACCTATATACATGAGTTTTACTAATCCAGCTCCAACCACCATATCCTGTCACTCTGTATTCCTCTCCTTTTTGTTTCCAAACCTGGTGTAAATGAGAAGGATGAGAATGCTTATAAAGCACACGTAGCTTTATATATCTTTACCAAACAAGATCAACAATAAGGCAAACTAATTAAATTTACCAGTCTATTTCCATATGGTGTCAAAAGTAAAGCAAAATTATAAAATACTCAAAGTTACAGAGTAAGTCTCAGAAATAGCTACGATTTATTTTTATAAAGATTATAGTAAAAAATTACCTGATGTTTCACTGGAAATGTGTATTTTACCCATGTAGCTTGTTGCATTGTTTCTTCCTCTTCTTGTTTTTTCTCTTTTTTTTTGACTTTCTCCTTTTCTTCTCTTTCAATAGATGTCATCCTGTGCAATCTAAGAATATAAGGATAGAAAGAGAGAATTACATTTAAATTTGACCAATAAAAAAGATAAAACTATAGTCAATGACAACCCCAACTCACAAACCTAAGTAGAGGTACAATTCCATTAGAGGAAAACCAAAGAGTTGAAAAAGGTAGAAACAAAACATGCTACCTTTCTCATATGCGCCCCACCTCACAACTGACTTATTTCTAAAACATCTACAAACACTAACTTTCTATTTCTGTGACAGGGATATTCTATCACAAACACAAAGTCAGTTTTTAATCAATGAATAAACTAGATCCTTCCATACCAGAATATACAGATCATTTTAAAGAATTAAATAAGGTACCTTTGCAAGGACATACCATAATTTATTGAACCCCTCCCCTATTAAAGGACACTTTACTCTTTCCCTTGCAAAAAAGGATCAACAAATCCCTTTCATTTTATCAACCAATATTTCTGATTCTTTCTGTCTAGATCTGGAGATTTTAAAGCGTCCCACAGGGTCCACTGAAAGAATGCATGCTTCCTATACCCCATGGGGCTCCCAGTCTGGGATGAGGGGAAGGGAGCAAAGATATGCTGCCCCTACCAGTAGGGAGATGGGCTGTGGTGAGGTGCTACATTAAGGGGAATAGACTAGATTTTCATGAATGGGAATAGTTTTCATCAGCAGGGACATTAACGATAGGTACGGAGAGAGGAGTTCATGTCTCTAAGAGATTAGTGCTAGGAGAATTGTTTTTAATCACACACTACCCAGATAAAGCCAATTTTGCATGCACAGCTATTTGGAAAGAATTAAACAGATCTTTTGTCAACCTGGGGAAGGGGGAGTGGAGGTGCTAAAAAATTGAAATGGGATTTCATTTTATCTCCATCCCTCCACCCAAAACTACTAATTTAGTTATCTCTACTTAAGAAAGCTTTGTGACTCTGTGACTACAGGACCCAGAATCTAGCTCCCCTAGGCCAGGAGAGTAACTGCACATACATAGTAGAGCAGACACTCACAAGGCTCTAGAATGATGGGAGGTGGGGCAAGGGAGTGGATTCTCATCAGGGTTAACTTAATGACTAGGATACCACTGACAACCACTGTGCAGGGAGTGAGGCAGGCTCTGGAGCACAGCAGAGCACAGCATGGCGGATAACCTGACAGTCTAGGCCTAACAGAGTAAGGAACAGGTCCCTGCACCAGACCAAGTATTATTTCTCAAGAGAGTCGAGAAAATTGGGCTCAGCTTTAAAACCCCTTAAAAGGACAGGCCTGACACAGCATCTGAGCCATCTTCCCTGGTTGAGGCTGGAACAGACAACACCTCTGCAGTGACACTCCAGGAGGTCACAACTGGGTGCACGCTCAGCTCTTGTTCATAGGGGAACAGGTCCATTCTCATCACTAAATACTGAGTCCTCGCTTTGCTGGAGATTTCAGGCCAAACAGTTATGGGTTAATCTGTGATGCTAACATTCCTTGAGAAATTCCATTGTTCTCACTGCTATGGGAACAATCCTTATGGGAAACAGCAGCGATAATAGTGAGCTCCAAGCAGGTCAACTCCACCTGCTTGGGCAGAAAACTTGGCTACTCTGCAGCCATGAGGCCCCAGGAATGAAGGCCGACAAGGCTGGTATGCCATACTGGCAGGTTCAATGGGTGGTAAGTGTTGCTGCCACATTTCCAAGGTTTAACAGAAAGTTGGACCAGGAATATGGGCTGAGTTTCAACCCAGTTTCCATGTGACACCCAGGGTCTTGTATTTGTTTTGCTATTACAAACAAAGCTGCAATAAACAATATTTTATGCCTTTCTCGGTAAACTTAGGAGTAGCCTGCTGTGTTCCCCAGTGGAAGGGTGGCTGAGCCCATAGTTTGTGGCATTTAAAAAGCTGACAGTGCCAAACTGCTCTTTAAATTGTACACGTCACACCCCCATCAATTATACAGTCACCCTGCTTTCCCACCTTCACTCAAGTTATCTAAATAGCCCAATTGAGATAAGCAATATTATCCACTGTTTTGATTTACATTTCTTTAATTATGAGAAGTAAGCATATCCTTTTTATGTCTACTGGCCTTTCATATTTATTTTTCTGCAAAATGCCTGTTCAAATCCTTTGTCTTGTCTGTACTGGACTATTAGTCCTTTTTCATTTATAAAAAGGTCTTTGTCAATTAAGGAAATTTCCATTTGTGGTGCAAATATTTTTCCTCAGTTTGCCATCTGTCTTTTGAGTTTGATTATATTATTATTTTTCCACTCAGAATTTTAAAAACATATATCCACTTTTTTCCTCTATGGCATCTGGGTTTTATATCTGTTTAAAAAGAAAGTATCACAACAAAAACATAAATTAATCCATGCTTTTCTTATTGAAAATGTTTACTGTTTTTAAGAGTTTGTTCTTTTTTAAAATCTTCATTTATCAAATGTTTCTGCCGAGGCAGGGATGCAGGGACATGTTCTCTATAATGCCCTCTTCCTCTGTTGATGTGCGATGCTATCATAACTAGACTCCCAAGGTTTAGGTCTATTTCTGAATTCTCTGCTCTATTCCACTGCTTTACTTGTGCAGTACAAATTATTTAGATCACTGTAGCTTCAAAATATGTTCTAATACCTTATGTCCTTTTCCCCCTACCATTTACTTCCTTTTCCTTGTACATTAAATTTCTAGATGAAATATTAGATCATTTTAATCAAGCCTCGTAGTGCCCCAAGAAGGGAACATTTTACTCACAAAGCAAATGAACATTACTGTTGATATTTTGAATTAATATACTTATTAATTTAAAGCATGGCATTTTTAAGAAATGTAATACACACATCTAAGCATGATATATCTTTTCATTTTCTTCAAGTACCTCTTTCTTTCCTTAGCAAAACTTTAATTTCTTTACATGGTCCTAAGTATTTCTTGTTAAATTTATTTCTAGTCAAGGTTCAAGGTTTCTTTGTTATTGCGGAATCTTTACTTTTATTGTAATTTTTTAAAATATATTTAAAAAAGTTACCAGGTTAAGAAGTAGAACTTTATTGATAGCCACATCTGAAGCTAGTGTGTCCTAAAACTCCAGGTAGTCA